GAAGGGATCGCGGCCCAGCACCAAGATGCCTAGGACCGACACGTCTCTTACCACAAACACGGCCTCAGGAATCCCCAGGTGGAGCCGCCGGCCGTTCCCTCCTAAGGAGAGTTCTCCTAAGCCACAGGCATCTCTAGCCACCGCCATCTTGGGGGAGCTCGCGCGCGACTACCAGCTTCTGGAGCCGCCAGCCGCCGGGGGCCCGTGATTGGCTCGCCCACACCTACAAGGCCTGCCCCTCCCTTGGGAGCACGCACATTGGTGGGCAAGCAGGAAGTAACCGCCCCTTCTCCGAGTAGCCCAACCTCTGGGTACTGATTGGTTGCATGCAGGTGAGTGACAGGTATGGCAGGGCCTCCGAGGGAAGCTGGCTGTGTGGGAAGAACCAATAGGGACTCCTGGGAAAAGGAATCTTGGGGATTTGGGGGAGTGGGGTGGGGACGGGTAGCAGGGCTGGAGGACCCTGGAAATCAGGGACAAAATCGGACCCCATTCCCACCCCAGAACCCCCGCCCCCCGCCGGAATGGCCTTCACAGCGACCTGATCCCCTCTCGGATGCAAGCAAAACCAGGACCTAGCCCTGACCAGTTTTGCTCAGTGGATAGAGCGTCAGCCTGCGGACTGAAAGGTCCCAGGTTCGATTCCGGTCAAGGGCATGTACCTTGGTTGCGGGCACATCCCCAGTGGGAGGTGTGCAGGAGGCAGCTGATTGATGTTTCTCTCTCATCGATGTTTCTAACTCTCTATTCCTCTCTCTTCCTCTCTGTAAAAAATCAATAAAATATATTTAAAAAAAACAAAAAACAAAAAACCAGGACCTAGATGCCACCACAGGGCTTCATCGGTGCCTTTCTGGTCCCACCATAGCAGCGAGCTTGCCGACCCTTGAAGGGGATTTATAATCCATCGCACCAATCTTTCCTGAAAGCCATCTTTGATCAGAATCTGGCGACCGCAGCTCAAACATTTTCCAAAGTTCATGGTCTAACCCTAGCTGGTGTGGCTCAGTGGGTAGAGCATCCGCCTGGGGACTGAAGGGTCCCGGATTCGATTCCGGTCAAGGGCACATGCCTGAGTTGCGGGCTGGATCACCAGTGTGGGGCATGCAGGAGGGCAGCCAATCAATGATTCCCTCTCATCATTGATGTTTCCATCTCTCTCTCTCCCCTCTCCTTTCCTCTCTGAAATCAATAAAAAATACGTTTAAAAAAAAAAGTTCATAGTCTACATACACAATATTTGTTCCTGCCTTTAATTGAACTGGAGTGCTAGCCAGTGCTTCACCCCCTCCCACGAAGCCTACCATGAGCCAGGCCCTTTATGAATAAAGGCTAGATGTCAGTTTCCTGGCTTAGTGGGGACACATAGTAATAAGTGATTAACATTTATGTAAAAACTAACTACATGCCAGTCACTAAGTAGTGTTATTTCATCCCTACAGCCCAGTGTGAGAGGGACTGCTATTGCCTCTAGCTTACAGACAAGTAAAGGGACTTTAAAGTGAACCATTTGTAAGAGAATAGGATGTTGTAACAGTCACATATCTGGTAGGAAGGGAGGACAAGTGGAAGACGCTGCCTAAATTGTATTTTAAAATGAGAATAACAATGCCTGGCTGGTGTGGCTCAGTGGTTGAGCTTTGTCCTATGAACCAGGTCGCTGGTTTGATTCCCAGTCAGGGCAGATGCCCGGGTTGCAGGCTCTATCCCCAGTAGGGAGCGTGCAGGCGGCAGCTGATCAATGATGTTACTCACAATTGATGTTTCTATCACTCTCCCTTCCTCTCTGAAATCAGCACACACACACACACACACCCCTTTAAAAGAAGAGTGGTAAGAAAAGTATGTCAGCCTCTAGGAATGGAGAGAAGGGGGGAGTAACTAAATGGATGTAGAGGGTAAAAGGTAGGAGGTGGGTGCGTGGGACAGACTAAGTCAGAAACAGGAAAACAAGACTGTAAGGACAGTTCAAGGAGGTGTCTGTGTCAGGTTTGGGTCCTTCTAGCAAACTCAGGAATCTATTCAGGAAAGCGTGGGGGCTGGATACTGGGAGATGTGTGGATCTAGAGGAGTAAGGAACGTGGGAGCGGCTTTAGACTGGAAAGAAGGGGGAGAAACTCGAGGACTGAACATAGGGGTGGGACTAGAGGACTGGGGAGAGGGGGGATGTGAGCTGGAAATATGAGTGATGTGGAGGAGTGAAGAAATTGGGCAGGGCGGTAGGACTAGCGGTGTGGGTGGGCTGAGGACTGGAGATAGTGGGGAGGCTTGAAGACTTGGAATAGGGCTGGTGGTGGAAGACAGTGGGAGCTTCTATATAGCTGTAACAAAACCTTAGAATATGAAATTAAACAAGACCATTATATTAGAATTTTAAAAATATAAATCACTTGGTAGTGTCAACTCAAAAATAATATCGACTAGTTGTTTCGTCACCAAAAAGGATTTATTCGGGGAAAAAAGAGGGATTGCAACCCAGTGCATGTGAATATAGCAAGCCACATGTGCACACTGGTCTGAATGCCAAGATGGAGGGTGTGGACCCTGAAAAAGAAAATACCTACAAAGAAGGGCTCCTGGTGGCTAACTGGGCTCAACTTTTTTAAAAAAACAACAACAAGAAATACCTATCCTAGCAGCCATTTCTACACAAGGGTCTCTCATGCAGACCACACTTCAGGGAGAAGCCTACACCAAGTGACCTGCCTCCTGCACTGAACTGCCTGCCTGCACTGTGTTTCTGGCATCTGGGCCAGCCCTTATAAAGGAGTTCCTGGGGTTCTAGTTCAACCAGTAGGACTGAGGCATTCCCTGTCCAATCACAGCTGTGCAGCTATATCCCATCAGCATCCTCGCTGACCAATCAGAGTAGCTCCTTCTAAACAATCAGGACAGTGTTTTTTGGAGCAATCAAACTGGGAGAATTTAGAGATGGACTAATCAGGGACCAGGGGCAGGGGCTTCTGTCTACATAAGGCAGCTCCCCTCTGGCTCAGAGAGAGCACTTTCCCTTTCCACCAAAGAAGACTATGTTTCTTCAGCTGGAGCTGCAACACCCAAGATGTCTTGCCAGGGACCCCTGCAGAGCAGACCCGTCCAGATGTGAGCAGAGGGAGCAGACTAGGGCAGAGCTGTGTAGCTGGAAATGGGCCTCTCCCCGAGGCCACCTGCCCCAGGGCCGCCTCACAGCTGTGCTGTTTCACAGCCCTACCTACTGCTTCTGAACTGAGGTGTAACGCGATTAAGCTGTTCCATGGTCCCAGCTGTGCTGTATCACAATTGAGCTCTTTGCACTGAATAAAGTTTATTGCTTCACTGCACCACAAATTGGGGATTCCTATTGGTGGTGAATTGGTGCCAATGACCATCAGTTGACATGCGGTATTTATAGAGGGGAAAGGGAGTCAAGGGAAGGGGAAGTTAGAACCATAAAGCTTTATTACGAACACTAGAGGCCCAGTGCACAAATTCATGCACAGGTGGGGTCCTTTGGGGTGGCCTATGGGGATCGGGCCCCAGCTTGTGCCCCCAGCCTCGCAGCCCCACAGCCCTGTCTGGCACCCCGCCTTGGCCTGGCACCGCCTGCTCACCTGCTCCACCATCATCGGGGGCTGGCTGCACAAGTTCCACGCTGCCCCCTGGTGGTCAGCGCACGTCATAGCGAGTGGTTGAGCGGCCTTAGCATTTCATTTCATATTACACTTTGATTGGTTGAATGGCAGACCAGACACTTAGCATAATAGGCTTTTATTATATAGGATCATTGACTATATTCCTTATGCTATGCTTATGTCCCCATGTTGTCAATCAATTTTTGAGAAATGTACCAAGTCAGTCCAAGAGAAAGAAATTTGATTTTCACAAATGTGGCAGGAACAACTAGATAAGTATATGGAAAAGTAAATCTCTACCCTTACCTGTCACCAAACATAAAAGTATTTTACA